CTGTCTCTTCAGACTTGGTCTCTTAGGATCATCCACAGGTACCTATACTGTAGATAGGTCTTAGTCATCAGGTCTACTCCACTTCCTTGTTGCCTGCTTAGACTCTTGGCACTCTTAGGTGAGCAGACTTAGTCAGCCTGTGTTGCCCTAACAGGTTGCCGCCCATTCAGATTTGCATGCATGCTTCTGCCCCTATCTGGGAGTGCAGAAGTACAGAGGCCATGCATAATGGTGCCCTTAGCATGCACTATGTACCTTTGATGCACTGCCATTGCACCTGCATCTTCAGTAATGCAGATGCAATGCCTGAACATGAGGTGAACTTGTGTTTTCCAGCAGGTGGTTTGGTTGGCACCTATTGTTGTGATGTGAGTTTAGCTGGGTTGGGGGTTACTATTGGCTGCTGAGTAGCCAGTAGTCTGAGATGAATTCAAGTGAGTTGTAGAGAGTACAGCTGGTCTGTGATAAGTGTCCAGAAATGCTCAAGGAGTAGTTCAAACCAGACAAACTATCATTAATTGGCCAACACCCTGACATTTGGATTGGACCTAAGAAGAGAGTTTCAGCTGCCTTGGACTGGGCTTTCACCTCCATGCTCATCATCTGATCCCCCCTGAGCTCATTGCCTCCTACCTTTTTTTGCCAACATCAACCTTCTACCAATAACATGTCATACTGACAAACAACCTTAAGCAAGTGTTGTGTTATTGGGTTGTTTAGGCTCTGTACTAACCTCTTACTACAGGTCCAATTATCCACTATCAATTATGACAGAGAGTCATACAGGGTGTCCAAGCCCAGCATTGCTCATTCAGGTGGCTTATGCCAAGCAGAAGGGGCTTGGTGAGCAGTACAGGCCACCTTTGAAATGTTTGTACTGACACAATACTAGGTTTTGGTGCGATGCTTCTGGCCTGGAGACAGCAGCACCCTGAGCTAGTGTCCAGTGGGGTAGCTCAGGGTGCTTGTGCTCACATTGACAGACTTGGATGCACCTGCATTACTCAAGCTGCCCTCCCTAATCAGGAGAGCCTGATACCTGACTCTGGTGTTCCCATTAAGTCAACTGCATACACCCAGGACCTTGTGGAACCTGTTGGCATCCCAGTCACTGTCACTGTGGCACTCCAAGTGCCTGCTGATCATGCAGACTCTGAACATTGCACCTGCATCACTGAAGATTTGAAGCTGTCTCCTTGCCTCTGGGGGAGCACTGGAGCCTGCCTGAGGGGCTCCCAATCCAATTCTACACCAGCCTACTCAGCCAGCAATGGTTCTGTTTCCCCTCCAAATTCCCCCCAGACTGCCATCTCCCATTCCAACCACACAGCGGCTGCTGTGCCAGGATCCCTTGTGATGATGGCCTCCACTGAGTGCCCAGCTCATGCACCCAGCCTTGGCACCATTTGCAGATTGGGTACTGTCAACCATGAGCTCGCTGATTGCTCAGAGGACAAATTTGCCTCCTGCATACCATGGAACCTTGCATACACTGAATTCATCCTCTCTGCTGGATGCTCATCCAGCAAGCGATGACAAAGCAGTCCCCTTGTATTGCTGTCATGAGGTGCTGCCTCCCTGCTACATGCCTCCTTGCAAATGACTCAAGCTACCTCTGAACCTCTCATGCTCATCTTTGCCTATGCCATCCACATCCTCTTCCTTGCCTCCTTCACCTTGTCTGATGGCCTTGGACAAGGCCACCCTCTGAGCAGTTGCCAAAGCACAGGCTGCCAGAGATGTCTCAGCTGAGTTAGAGAGGAGGTACCAGCTTGTAGGAGGCTGTCTAGTGCATGCATAACCTTATGTCCTTTTGCTCCATCTACACCTAATGTGTTGTGTACAGCGTACCTCTGATGCATCTCAATCAGATCTCATAGGCATCTTTCCTCTACTCAGTGTTAATATGCACCGGTTCAAATGGCAAATGATGAATATGCATGTTTTCCTTCATGTGAGCAATGCTGGAAGCAGGTTCCCCAAACAGGCACTCACTAGAACCATTGAATGTGGTGATCTAATGCCTTTTCTGCAATGTATCCATCATGAGGACATTCAGCCTATATCTGTAGATCATCAGTGTGAATTTGCACAAGTTATGCTGAATTTGTGCAGGTTATGGGGGACTTACTTGACAGAAGGTTGAGAATAAATATTGTTGCAATGGGCACAAAAATACACAAATCCAGCCACACCAATATCGGATCATTCCGCCTTCTTGTTGCAGTTTGCATCAGGACAAGTGAAGTAGGTGTAATTGCGTGAGGACAACACATTGATGAACCCATGCACTTTGACCACCTTGGGAATGGAATGGGTGCTGAGACTGAGCTTGTCAATCTTGTTGATCATTACAAGAGAAGCATGGGTGATGAGAGATGGGTCTGGCATGCTATCTGCACTCCAGGTGCTGGTAATGAGGTGCATTGTCTTGTCCACATTGATGGGATCATCAAACCTATGATAGTTACTCTTCAGACCAATCTGCACAAGTTAAAGTACTTACCAATTCATCAGGGCAATGTGCACAGCATTCTTGTGACTGTACATGATGATTGTCTGGTCATTCTGGCTCTTCAAGCACACTGAGCCATGAAATCAATCAACTAGCACATTTTTAATCATCACAACACACCCCTCTTGACTGACAAAGGCATTGAGGAAACCATTGAATGCAACAAATCAAACTGCTTGATTTGAATTGTCCACAATGTATACATCAATGTGGTCAACATTTAACTTGTGCTGCTGTCCTGTCTGTGATTTATTAGCACTCAGAACATGTGCAAATAATGATAACATACTGCATCAGTCACAGTTGTCATCCCTTTGATGGGTTGTCCCATGCAAAGGATAATGCCCACAATATCTGTGAACAGGAGTGAATATTTGCCTACAAATAAATTTGCATGACTTACCAACATGTTGGTTGGCATCAATCTTCTCCAGCACATTCAAATGGTGGAAATCAAAGTAAATCTTTGGAATGAGTCCATTATCCACAATGTTCCAAACACATGCACATTCAGTATGCAGTTGAAGTTGCCACCAGTTGTTAGCTCTCATATACTTGAGTTTGGCTTCTTCCAAAGCCAATCCCTCGAAGGCATAGACCTGATTCCAGTTAGAAGCTTGAATGAAGTCATGCAAATTGCTGTACCTTGCCAGTCTCCAAATCTCCAGCCCAATGTGCAGCATCTCCCCAGGCCATGGTGTCAATCTCAGCCTAATGAACAATCAGCAAACAGACTAGCAGAGGAACAGAATCACATGCAGTTTCATCATGCAAAGTCATGCAGCAGGAATACATCATCAGCTTTGATCTGTACATAGTGCTCTCAAGAGGGTGAAGGCAAGACAACCATCCATAGATATACCAACTTGTGCAAGTTAGAAAACATCAGAGTAATACTAAACACACTCACTCTCTTCCACTGATAAGTCCAATATTGTGCAGAGCTATGTAAACAGGAGGGCCAGCAGTCAGCAGTCAGGTGCCTGCATTGTGTGGCACTCTGGTGTAGTGCCCATAAGCAGTCTCAGCCTTGTCCTTGACAGTTTTGCTGGGAACCAGAACCTTGTGCTGCTTGATTTCACCCTGCACTGCATTGATCCTGCATGGGTATGGAATGGGATGTTGCCCAGTAAAGCCATATGTGAGATGAAGGTTACTGCCAAGGGCGCCTTAGTTTTCTTCGAAAGGGAGGAACAGCTGCTTCAGTTTCCCAATCAGCACAGATTCAGCTCATAGATACATGTACCCATTGATAATCACAATACTAAAAACAAATCACATGTTGGTCTTGTGCAAGTTGGAAGAATACATACCTTGTCCTCTTGTGATCCATATACATCTGACTATAGCTGGCAATCTGAATAACCAAAAAGTCAGGCAGACTGTCCTGCTCAATATTGTGCATGACATCTCAGCCAGCCACAACCTTCACACAAGCTTCACTGTCACTGATCAAGATCCTGCACAAGTTAAATGAGCACAAGTGAAACAAGTGACTTGTATGCACACACATCCACCTCTTACACCTGTGCTTCTCTCCATCCAACTCCGGCATTTCCTCAGTGGTGAGTACTTGCAAAACACTGATAAAGTTGTCAGGCCAGCCATGAGTCATAGTGGTGCAAGCTCCTCAAGTCAACAGCTTAGTGGAATCTACTCCACTTAAATCACACAACATCTCGGATCATTGTTGGTTGATGGTCAGGAGCTGAGACAATGCCGGAGGGGAATGGCTCTCATCAAGACTATGCGTCATCCCGCGCGGTTTGCTTCCGTTCCCGAGCATGGGCCCCTATCTTGCACTTGCCCAGGGCATGCACGGAGCAGTTGACTATAATATAATAGGAATCCCAAGGTCTCACAGCGCAGAGCGCCCTGACACGCGGTGAATGGAGGCAATAATATACTTCCGTGCATAGCGGCCAGCCCAAGAGCGGCTACCGTGGTAGCTTGTCGCCCAGGAGATTCGTACGTTAGCTACACTTATCTTGAGCACGATGGGTCAATACTGGATGATCATCCACATCGACAGAGAGATTCAATCAGGCCATCTCGGAAAGCTCGGGGAGTTCTTTTACCACAGTTGTACGCACGAAACTCTGACAGAACTACTGCAACCCCTTCGTCCTCTTCCGTCGATGCCGATCATTCCCAGCACTGAACTCCTCAGCTCTTCTCGGTGCAATATTCAGCTCAAATGAATATGTTGTACCTATGCTAACCACCAGCACAGCGGCCGTGAGCGCGGATTGTCAAAATTCCCACCGGAGATGATCATTGAGATCGCATCACACATCCGCTCTCCTGGCGATCTCATCTGCTTCGCTGCAACCTGTCATCACCTGT